TAAGTTTAATGCTGTTTGGCACTCGTCAACAAGGTGTACCCGTATTCTTGAAGGGATTGATGCTCCTGGTGGATTCGATCCCATGTCATCCAACTTCAGTCACAAATGTTACCACTGAGCTATCCAACTCGTGACTGATCTCATGTAGGACAGAGATGTATTTACAATAAGCTGAAGCTAAGCTATCTTTACATAGCTGTCCGTATGGAATTAGATCCAGTAAGTTCAGGTACCGTAGTACTCATGCTAATTTTCAATCCATTGAAATCAAGAACTTTACAGTTTCCAACTTTATTTAGCTAATAATATTGCATAATTCTTATTCATCCTCATTTGGTGTGGTGAATATATTTTACCATTTAACCCCAAACACCTCACAATTATTTGTTTTAATAGTATAGATCACGAACTGATCTCAGTTATACTATTGAAAACCTGGAAGCACTGGACATCACTGAGCTGAATGGCTTGGCCGTGGAGCTTTCATTGTTCTTCTTAACAATATCATCGGCACAAACTTCAGGTAAAAGTGAAGTGTCCGACTTTTTCCATACGATTAACCGCTTGTTTTGTTGACCTCGATCTTGATTGGGTATTGCTGACCTTTAATCTGTCACTATCTCTTTATTTTGATTGCATCTTCTCTTGATCTGATTCTTGTAGGAAATGTAGGAAACAAAACTCCGCCTAAACCATCTACCTGAGCTACAAATTTTTTCCAGGACAGCCGTTTATTAATGTTGTTTTATATTAGATTGAATAATGTTTAGAAAACTTGGAATTACGAAAACTATTGTTTTATTCCTGTTATTTCGTATTGGTATTCCCTCAATTATATAAACAATGGGATGGATTACATGATATTTGTCAGTGCAAGTAAAATTGAAACCGTGTTTTAACTTATATATTTTAGTCAACTCTTTTTACAGATGAATATTTAAGGTATTCTTTTGATAAAAGATTGTTTACACATAATGTTTAACTACATTTTTACGTCTAATATCATTTCACAGCATGATAGTAAAGGAACACAATTTCCGTCATAAATATACATATATATTCCGACATCAAACAGTCACTTATTTTATAATTAACTTACATTTTGTCACCTACATTACGAACTTTAAAAACAGTAACACTGAGAACTCTAGTAATACATTGAAACGCTTTTCAGCTAAAGAACAGAAATATACATTCATTCGTAATAATAACAATAGTTAATAAAAGTTATAGGAACACTTGTTATGAACTTATTACAAATTATCACTAGGTTGTCAACAAATTACTCAACTAAACAGATCTCTTTAAACTTTACATATTTAAAATATGACCGTTAAATAAGAGAAAAAATGTTGCGTAAATTGTTGAATTATTATCAACTGATATGACAAACTTTCCTAAAAATATAACAACTTGACAATATCTAATTCGTTGTACAGTAATGTGAAGTCTATATTCATAGATAATAATATCTATAAATGGAATTATAGCGGCTGGTATACTTCCGCCTAAAGTCTACAACAGGAATACTATGCAGTAAATGAGGAAAAACTGATTTCCAAAAATATTACCAATAAATGAGATAATAATAAAAAGAAATTTAAACGAAAACAAATATTTACGCTGGTCAACAACAACAACTATTAGAAACACTTCGGTAGACCGAATGACCAAGAATGAGATTCGAGTTTTATTACTGTTATTTTTTATGGATATACAAAAGAAACTATTGAGTTGAAAGACCATTTACTTGTGAAAACGATCGATCTATTGCAAAGATGTGCCCAACTTTTATTCAGAAACGTTGAAAAGATCCCAAAACTAATTTATCTAATCAGATATATGTACATCCGAACATAATTCAAAGATTGATAAATGACAACTTACAATAAAATCAAATCCTCACATACTTTTTCCCTAAAATTAATTTTTGACCTGTTATTGTTTAGTATTTTAGATACCCCATATGTTACTCTTGATTCAGGAAATATAAGTAACCTACTAACCAAATATGTGGAAGACTAATTAAAATGTATATTTTCAAAGATTTAATAACAAACTTGTAGCATAAATTTGTAATCAAATAATGCATACTTCCGCCTGTTACCCCTCGTGAAGGAGCATAGGTCGCCCACCAGCACTCTACATCCAACTCTGTACTAGGCAATCTTGTTCATATCTGCTTCCATTTCCCGAAGTAGTGTGTTCTTTGGCCTTCCTCTTTTCCGCTTTCCTTCACCATACCAAGTTACGGATTGCCTCGTGATTTCTGTAATGTATGTCTTATCCACTTCCAACGTCTTTTCCTAATTTCCTCTTCAGCTCGAAGCTGGTTTGTCCTCTCTCACAGAAGGCTGTTGCTGATGGTACCCGGCCAGTGAATGTTGAGTATTTTGCGTAAACAACTGTTTATAAATACTTGTACCTTCTTGACGATGGTTGTAGTTCTCCAATTTTCAGCTCTGTACAGTAGGACTATCTTGACGTTCGTGTTGAAGATTCTGATTTTGAAATTAGTTGAGAGTTGTTTTGAGTTCCATATGTTCTTCAATTGTAGGAATGCCGTCCTTGCTTTGCCCATCCTCGCCTTTGCATCTGCATCAGATCCTCCTCGTTCATCAATGATGCTACTAACCAAGTACGTGAATGATTCCACATCTTCCAGAGTTTCTCCATCAAGTGTGATTGGGTTGGCGTTCTCCGTGTTGTATTTGAGGATCTTGCTTTATCCTTTGTGTATGTTGAGGCCTATTGATGCAGAGGCTGTTGCCACATTAGTTGCCTTCATCTGCATTTATTCATGTACATGGAATAAGAGAGCCAGGTGGTCAGCGAATTGATTCTGCGCTATCGATTATACTCTGTGCTTTACCTCAGATGTCGAGGTCTTCGTAGTTCAGTCAGCCACCAGATGGGAAAGGGGGTGAGTAAGCAGCTTTGTCCTCACTTGCATCTGTCAGCTATGCACTACTTTGCACTGTAATACGTCGTATGAGTTCTGGATAATGTTGACAATCTTCTGAGGAACTCCATAGTGTCGAAGAAGTTTCCATAATGTTCTCACATCCACACTGTCAAACGCCCTCTCATAGTCAATGAAGTTGATGTCTAGTGACAAGTGCCACTCAACTGATTGTCTAACGATTATTCGTAGTGACACGATTTATTCTGTGCACGACCTATCCTTACGGAATCCAGCCTGTTGAAAACGTTTCCTGGTACTGAAAATGATGTGATTCCTCTGTAGTTCTTACATTTGCCCAGATCTCCTTTCTTCCGTGTCTTGATAAGGTATCTTTCTTTCCAGTCCGTCAACAATTGTTTCTCCTCCTTCCTTGATAGAACGTGGAGCATGTTAGCAGTTGCTTATATATCTGACTTCAGCTGGTATATTTTCAGATTCTGTTGCTTTCCCATTCTTGATTTTTCTGATGGCCATCCTGATTTCTTCCGTTGTTGGTGGAGTGAAATCAATGGGAAGGTCGGTATCTGCTGCTTCGGTGTCCGGTAAATTCAGTAGATCTGGTCTATTCAATAGTTCCTCAGAATGTTCTACCCATCTGTTCATGTTTTCAAATCTGTGATCGCCTTGCGTTTTATGTCCTTGACCAGTCTCTCTGGTTTACTATATTTACCCGCTAGTTTCTTCGTTGTACCATATAGTTGTTTCATATTTCCTTCATTTGAAGCTTTTTCCACCGTCGTTTCTAGTTCTTCCATATATTTCTGCATGTCGGCTTTAATGCTCTTCTTCACTTGCTTGTTTGCTTCTGCGTACTCTGCTGGTGTTCGACTGTTGTTAATTGTTGTCTTATTGTTCTTCCTTTCTTCAATCTTGTCCAGGGTTCCCATAGGGATCCATTCCTTATGATGATGCTTCTTGCGACCCAGAACCTCCTGACACGTTGAAGTTAATGTTTCTTCGATCCCTTTTCAGTTGTCCTCCATCGTAGTTTCTTTCTGTAGATCCTGGAACTTGTTGTTGAGAGCAATTTTGAATGCGTTGAGTCTGTTAGTATCTCGAAGGAAGGCTGTATTGAACCTCTGTACTGCTGCTTCCCCAGCTGTCCAGTGTTTATTTAGCTTCAAGTTGATCTTGAACACAACCAGGTAGTTATCTGAAAGTATGTCAGATCCTCTCCTGGTTCTCACATTTGACATTGTCCTTCTGATTTTTTTATTTATACAAATATGGTCTATCCGGTTCTCCGTGGTATGATCCGGTGAGATCCATGTAGCTTTGTGTGAGAATATTGTGCAATCTATAGCCAATTTGTTGAGTGCACATAGATTTGCAAATCTATCGCCATTCTCGTTCCTTTATCCCAGTCAGTCCACGTCGTCCCATTATATCTCCATATCTGGTGTTGTCCACTCCGACTTTGGTATTTAGACCTCCCATCATGATGGTCAGGTACTTTCCTGAGAACTTAGCTATAATTGATTGCAGCCTCGAGTAGAACTGATCTTTATCGTCGCCGTTGATATCTTTAGTGGGTGCATAACATTAGATAACATTTATTGTGATCCCCTCCTTCTTCGTTTTGAATGATGCTTTGATTATCCTGAATCCGTGAGATTCCCATCCTACAAGTGCATTTCGTATTTCTCTGGACAGCATTAGAGCATCTACCTGAGTATGTGGAGCATTTTCCTCTTCGTGACCAGAGTACAACAGCATCTCTCCCGTACCTAGCCTTTGCTGTCCAGCTTGGGTCCGATTCCGAGTACTGCCAAGTCGCATCTCCTCATTTCCGTTGCTATTTGACTGGTCTTCTCGGTCTCCCACATTGCCCGGACGTTCCATGTACCGATAAAAATTGTTGCTCTGATTGTTAGAAGGTGCATCGGCCTCGTAAATCCCGAACAATCTCGGCTTTCAACATGAGGCGTCATAATTTTTTCTTCAACTCTCAGGGGAGAGTTTAAGTGATTTAACTTGTTTAATCTAGTTGGCGTTACTTTAGCAAAAAATTTTCTACGGGATGAGGTCATCGACTCCATGCTCAATCCTCCTCCTTTACCCGGGCTTGGGACTGGCAGTAACTCTAGAAGAGCTGCAGGAGAAGTTAATTAAATAATATCAACATGAAATGAAGGTTGGCGACCTATGGTTTATATTTACAACTTCGACCATCTTGCATAATCACCATTAAATGTTATCGGTGTAGTGACTGCCTCATTTTCTCCATATGGATGGAACTCCGAGGTAATTCCCGAAGTTCTAGCGATAAAATGTGATCAGTAGAGTTTAAATACGTCAGGAAGAGAGGTTACTTCCTAACTTAGTATGATTTTTTTATTAGCTGAAAGGTTCAAACTAAAGCTTCGAAAATATCATTTACATCCAAACTTATATGTTTTTGGCAAATGTTTTCATAACAAAACCTGGATATGGTTTAACCATAGATTGAGAAAGACAAGATTGAAAGTTACAAATTTCTTTATAAGGGTATGATATAAGATAGCTAGAATATGAACTACTTAGTCTCCTGATATTTTGCTTCAAAGGAATAAAATGTTTATAATAACCTGACCATTCATTCATTGGCCATTATTCACGTATGTGTCAGTGCAATCTTAGATGATTACTTATATGAACAAACACAAGATTTTATCATGGGTAAAATATTCATTAATATTCATTTGAAAACGCGATGATAACTGATGCAAATAAATCAAATCTTAAAAAATCTGACACGCTATTTAACGTATAAATTAAACAAGCAATACATAATTTGAGTCGCATAACAGATTCTCGACTTTTATATGTCATGAATCTATCGAGGAACACCTTATATGATATGGATTTCGTGGTCGATCAATATGGTTCAGACACACGTAATTAATAATTTACTTTTTCCCAGAAAGTCCATACAATACATTGTCTTATTAGCTGTATTTCCATTTTTTTCTGATACATACTGAATCTCTGTTGCGCAATACCAAGTTTTATCACCATGTAGTCAATAAACAATAGGTTTAAGCTGATATGTTAACTGAATCAATAACGATAAATACGAAATTCCAGACAGCATAAGATAATTAACTCACATAAATGTCTTTTGTATAAATCAAAAATACAATACAAGTAAAGAATATGCAGAATGAAATCGATAATAAATATTGTAAAACAGCATAGGCAATTTGATACATAAGAGAATCTTTCGAAGATTATCACAATAAGCTTTTTATTATCGGTTTTGCTTATCATGCTGAAATTGACTACAAACTGAATACATTCATTTGATCAATCCAACCTCTGATGAAACAATCCTCAGAAAATTTTTCACGTACCCACTTAGTAGCATTTTTCCGTATGACATCGATTTGTGATTCAGACATTTTCAGTAATACCAATTCGAAAATATTTGCGTATTCATCAACTGTAGACGCAAGAAATCCAACACCTGAATTTTCTAACTGATTGGAAGATGAACTAGTTTCTGAAGGTCCAATTATATCAGTAAGTGGACCACCAGATCTGTGAGCAATTGTAATAAGACCTGATGCCATGCCTTCCACAATACCTGTTGAAAATAATACAAAAAACAACAGACTATACTATGAGGAAATAATGCATGAAACCTAACTGACATCAAGGTGTGAAACTGATGTTGAGACACAAACACAGATCACATAACATGTGGATGCTAAAATAGAGTAATTAACTACATGTGAGAAGACTTCATTTTAGCTAAACACAATACACATGGGGAATAGCATAACACGTTTCAAGACTTGATACAAAATTACTAGCGATAGTCAGCAATATATGCAGTGAACTGAAGTATGATCTCGAAGATTATCAAATGTACTTTTATAATTGCCACGACTGACTGACTAACTTAATCGAAACAGCAACAGAAAACTTAGTGGACTAGCAGTGACTTTTACTAGATCTAGCAAAGCGCAGATCGATCCACCATTACGGTAATGAACTCCATCATGAAAACTCAGTACATAATAATAATAAGGTACAAAAAAACTAATTTCTTTACTCTTCGAAGGACATGAGCATAGACACAATGATCTGACACAAATCATTTATAACCGTAGAATTCTCTTTGTGGTAGGTAGTCAAGTAATAATCAACTTACAGAATGGCACACATGTGAGTCAGCCCAAGTTGTCAAACCACGTTGATATATAATGAAATCTTGGCACGGCTTTCGAAAGCTCAGCTGGCTTTTTGCCAAACTGATTCACTTGGTAAGTAGGTGAAATCTTCATCTGCCACCTAAAAATCTAGTCTACTGAGTGGCGGCTCATCCTGTCCTACTTTATGACCGTGAAACATAACAGTTAAGAGGGGAAGATATTCGGAGGCTAGTAGTATTTGAACATGTCTTCGAATAATTGTTTGCATATATCAGGACAACTGAGTGAGCACTGAAGTTAGCACAGAGTATTGGGTAAATCTAGAAAATTGGTTGGTCGGGTAATGAATCTTTATCAACTAAGGCGATAGGGACATGTATTGCGTACCTCCATGGATTACGATGGATGGTGTAGGGGTTGGGTTGCAAGAGCATTACGGGCGACCAAACGTAAACGTGGGATCAATCCATGAAGACGCGGACAACTGAACTAGACCACGTAAATAGATTGCACACTGCCTAGTAGGGGTCTACGTGATTACCGTAAATAATGGTTAGGCTCTAAGTGAAGTGACTCCGAAATAATTCTAATGGCACAGGAGTATTCCCTGTATTCCCATAGATCCTAACGCCCTAAACCCTCTACACGTTATGTTTTTTTTATACCTATTCTTTTCTATTACTACTGGCACTGTGATTACTTTGAATACTCTGAGATCTGTAAGAATAATTTTACTTATCTGTGTTAATGCCGTATGCTAACTTGAACCGATACATGTACGTACCAAGTTCTATGCGGCATATGACTGACTGAACTCTAATGCCCAATTAAGTAACAATTACAAAACCATATCCGTGTATATACACTTAACGATTACTTAAAATCTAGATTTCAAACAATCGTTTCATTCAACCCTGTAACTTGTCAGAATCGGAGTTGTGGCTTAGTGGTTGTAGCACTAGACCTCACATACAACTTAGTTAAACAAAACTCAGTACATAAACCTCTAAATTGTACATGAGTTACCCTAATTAACCAACAACACACTCACGACTCTTGATTGGATGGTAGCCAGGATTTTGAGGCTTCAAGGATAGTATGCTAATTTTTTTAATATACAGAACAGGCTATAATAGTTAATATTTTAAAATCAAACTGAGCCGTTCTATATTTTCGATGTGTTTTGTGATGCCTTTTCTGACATGCAATTTTACTTAGCTCAGACTGGCATATTATACAATACTTCTAGTGTCAACTTTAAATTACTTACTTATTCCAAAATGTTCATCCACCATAGTGTGCAAATTAACCGAACAACGTCCAAAATAGCTTTTTAATTCCTGATAGGGTAAATTAATGTGAAACTCTACAGTATCTCCAAGTTTCAGTGCAGCGGCCTGGTCTTTAAGTTTTGAGACAAGGGCAAAATCCTTGTCATCCCGACAGCCACCGATTAAAAGAAGTTTGAACTCATGTTTTTCATCGCCTTTTGCTGATTTGTGACGGCTAAGGAAGTGATGGAAAGCGTTCAGCTGAAGCTACATATTAGAAATAAAAATTTTCAGGACATCTTAATTATATTATTCTATAGTGATTATAGGAAATTCTATAACTGTTTAATACAAACCCAACTAACTTAATACTAATTGGGCATTTCTATAAAATAAGGCCTAAGCAATAATACATACTTTTATGTATTTATTGCAAGTGGCATCAGTATAACAAATTAAACTAAATTCGAAAGGAGCTTTATACAAGCGGATCAGTCTTTACTAGAGTATGAACCTAGCTCAGTTATTTATGTAAGAAGACTATACCAAAAATAGCTGTATCTCTTCCCTATGTACCAAAAGTAAATTAGCAGAATGAGATTATAGCCTATGACGATTTACTTACTATGAAATAAGGCCAAAATCGAGATGATAAGGATGTAAATCTACTTCACGTGTTCAGAATAGGTGTTTCTATATTATTTTTAAGGGAAGTTATCTGGTTGGCAAAATATGCGTTACAATTTATTTTGATCAACGCCAAAAATGTGAATAATGACTCAGAGTATAGACTAGTGACGGTCTTTTTAAGGCCTTCTATTGTATTGTTTACAGACAAGATGCTTCCCCTAAATAACAGAAATTTATATTATAATATATTCTTATTCAAACTGAACCGCTCAAAACACAATAACCTTGTTTTCATTTCCTTTTTAGTGAATATATGATACTGTTGTCTCACGTGTGCGGTGGGTTTCATGGTATAATAATGTGCTAAATATTTTTCTAAATTATGAAGAAAAATTACAATGATAATAAATGATCACTCGTAACTGAAATAGATCCATACGTTATTCGATTTTTAAGGACTCTGACGCTCAAGCACAACATTGATGTAATAACTCCATGAGTCGATCATATGTGTATGCAAGCCTGATTTAAGTGTTTGACTATCCATGATCTACTTGGTGAATACCCGAGGATTCTAATGCCAATAAAATCACAGGTTTACACAAAGCGTTGAGCTTACACAAGGAACACATCAGCTGTATTTTATATTATAGTTGTTTTGAATTATTTAAATAAGTGGTTTTATAAGATCTAACTCCACATGGTACCTCGTCGAACGCGACCACAAGTGACCAGGAAGCGTTTGGTAGTTTGGTTTACTCACTTGACTTTTTGACCGATGAAATTTAATAAGCCTTAGGGACTTAGACATCAGAAAATATAACTGTTCTAAATTTTGGTTGGAAATGAATACTTGGTATTTTGATAGGGTTTTACTTAGTCGGAAACTGAGGAACGTTTTGTTTAGTACTACATTTGAAAACACTAGCGTTGAGTATTTGAGTAACGGAAATATCAAACATTACACAATACAACGGCAAATAAGACAGTGTTGAGTATATCAGCTTACATGAGACATTTCGGTTCAGCATTTACATCTAGAGTACTACATGAGTACATATCTAATAATTACTGTGATCAGAAAATACTTTACAAAGTGCCATAAATTGAACCGTCTAGAATTAATATATCTCAATAAAAAAAACAAGCAAACCTCGTGATTCTTTTCCGGTCTAAACTGACCAACAGATAAAATCCACTTAAATCGTTGAACACTGACTAATTTTCCTTCCAAATCCTCGACAGGACATGGAGGATAAAGCACAACAGGTTTTCCACCCCACAACGACTGAATATGCTTTTGAGTCCAGGATGAATTCGTCATTGCAACATCGACATTTATGCTTGAACCAGAAAATTTGTACGCTTTGATAAAAAGATGGTAGTATAAGAATTTTATGCTGGTAAAGATCCTATTATTTCTAACCCATTCAGGATTGTTATAAGTTAAAACTAATTCATTTTCATTTTTTGAGAACAATGAGGACGATACACGTTGCAACATAACAGATGATATAGTTGGATAGTGTACGTAAGCCGCTGTCTGTGAATTACACAACCATTTGGTTAGAGGTATGGTAAAGGCGAATCCTGTAGTGTCAATATATACATCCGGTGGGCATCTAAAGATAGCTTCCAATCCAACTAGAACTGAACCAAAAGCCTGACCAGCTAGTGTGAATAAACGATATAGCTTTGGAGTTAGTAATATATCTGATTTCAGTGGTACAAAATGTATAGCAGAATAATCGGAAGGTTTGTTGCAACATATCCCAAATATTCTTCGGATGTTACTGAAGACTTTATCAGGATTTGAAAGACACTCTGCATCATTGGTATAAATAACAATTACTATGTTTTTATATCTACATTAACAAAATGTCATATTTTAATCGAAAAGAAAATAAAACAACCTACTTTTCCAACATACACTTAACTGCAGTCCATAGAACACGTTCACCCCCACCTCCACTATTACAGTAAGGATGGAAGAAACCAACAATCTTGTGATTGGCTGGAACACCATATTTCTCCATCAAATCACGGTGCACGGTATGTTTTCGATGACGAATAAACCATTTAATTGAGAAAATAATAGGATATACAAGTAACAGAAAAATCAAAAAGGTCTAAAAGGATTAACGAAATGATCAAATTACCATCATTTTTAAACAAGATAATTCTCTAACAATCAATTGCAGACGACAGAAGTCTTTGTATATGCTAAAAAATAAAGATAGTCCAGCAAATTAAGAGCTGCAGTTTGTTTAAGCAGTTAACTACTAGTTATTAAATGAAGAACCAAAATCTAGCTTCATTAATTTAGTTTAAGCAGTGTCATGGATTTCCATCCGAAAAAGTTGCACACTGATTTGTCACGTTGAAACTGTCAATGTGTTCTTAAACAGAATAAGACTTTCCTGGGAATTATAGAAATACTTTTACAAAAAGAATGAGAACTAAGCTTAGTTGAACACGATGGTTACCCTTAATCTAATGGTAAAAATAATGTATTGGGACGCAAAACAAGCGCGTTGACAACAGCACGCACTTACTGAGCACTAAAGTCTGAATAGTTATCCATTGCACAGCTGTGATAAAGCAAGATGTGGTAGCAGAGCGAATATAATCATTCTTAATAAGAATCAACCCACAAACCTGGACACCGAGTCACACATTAATTCCCATCCTCATCTAATAAGAAGCACGTTGTTTGTAATTCTCTTTTGATACGCATCAAGAAGAAACTATCTCTTTAAAATGAACAACTTCCTTTCGCATCTGACTAGCCAATTTGAGGACTGTAGGATTGTGATGTCAGCACAGTATGCTAGACCGATTAAATGGTCTGCATCTGCTTCATACGAACTTTTTACAAAACGCAAACTGCTCGACTGGGAATTAGATTTCATCAGACTGCCTGGCATTGGAACCTAACAAGACATACTGTTTCCAGAACTCACCTCTTAAAAAACTTCGGTAGAGACTCTTAAAAATGTATCCCTGAGTGATGAATTTTTGGCAAAAGTAATACACAAGCAATCAACAAAAGTATTGGAACCTGAAGTAATTCTCGACGAAACAGAGACGGTAGTCTGATGTTCTTCAAAGTGATCTGTCCCCATGGTGGAGACCTAAGTAGTGTTGTAAGTCCTTAAAAGTGCTGATCTATCAATATCCCGAGCGTTTAAACATGACTGCCTAATGGTTGCTTCTTGAGTTCATTATAGCAAGTGGAAAGCTGGTTAAATTAATCCATCGCCCGGACCTGATATGTTCTCCCTATATCTTCCTACCGGATTAGGAAAACTTTGAGAACATAGCAGGCGAGTAGAAAAGCCAAGAACGAACAATATCCGTGGTATCCAGGCTTTCACATAGAGTCAGCAATTCTTAAAACCTGTTACCCTAGACTGGTGTCAGCACATTTAGTTGACTCACCCAAGAGGAGATTAGACACTCACAGAAGCTTAGTAGAAAAGGGTTAACACAGGCTGTAGGTTTTCCGTCCTTACTACACAAATCTGTTGTTGATCCAAGCGGAGCTGTGACGAGATAAGCCTGAGGTGACCTGACGAAGTAAAAGTAGTCATTTTGCGTTTTAGATGGCTACAGCCACAGACAACTAAAACGTATTTCATTTACTAGCTATTTTGCATAAAAAATTCTATGTTCAAAATAAGTAGTAGTTTGGAATTTATTTTAGACCTTGAAACAGCACAGTAGTATTGTCAGAGTTTGGACCTTTGCAATTTTACTACAAGAAAAAAATTTTCTCTGGTAGCGTGCCTAAAATAAACCAAGTGAGGAAGTGTCTGTTACTCTATATATAACATATCTCAAAGTATTAGGATAATTTCGTGGCCCAGATACCTGGTTGGACAAAATTTACGGTGCTGTTTGTACTGATTAAACCAAAAATATGACGAAACTAGGTGCGAATATATTTCCTCTACAAGATCATCGCAAGTGTCTCTAGCATGCCTGAGATACTTTGACCAAACAAAAGAAGGGAACCAAACCTTCCTCCTCCACGTTTAAATGACCTTGAAGGACGAGAGACTGCAACTCAACCTTTAACTTAACTTAGTATTGTTTGAATCTTCCCATTGATGTTTAGAACTGCAACTGGTCAGTCTCTAATTGGCATATGTGCATACTGTGCGTATTGCATCGATATAGCCTTACTTCACAAGGATTGTAAGCAAAGATGGATGGTGACTAGCAGTGGAATCCAGGACGCACGTTTCGTCCTATTTGGGACTGAATGTACATTCAGCCGACGAGTCCCAAATAGGACGAAACGTGCGTCCTGGATTCCACTGCTAGCCACTATCCATCTCAACCTTTAACTGTTTGTTCCTTGAGCCCAGCGTCTGGATAGCAGGAGGGTGTAGGCTATGTAAAAACAACTTCAAAGTGCTTTAAGCCAGTAAGAAGAGTGTTTAGTTATGTAATAATTTGTAATAAAAACAAATAAACATCCGATTATGGAGTAGTATTATCGCAAATAATGAATTACAAACTAAAATCATCCATGATGCACGAATGCTCTGGGACCGTGTAGTGGAATTCAACAAGAACCTAAATCTGATTGATTTATCCATATTTAGCGGTACTGGCTCACAAGCAAATAATCCTTGAAGCTGAACATACGTTAATTGAGAAGATATACATTCAACATTTAACACTTAGGTAAGGTCACAAATGGTGAATGTAGAACAATTTATCGATATGGCACAGCCCGTCTATGCAGGCGTGGTCACTCTATACAACCCCTTGCTTTTCATATCGAATATTATTTTCTTCCAGACCCGAATGCATTTTTCAGAAGGCCCTAGCAGCGACCACCGACATCAGATAGAATGAGTCAGTACAGACCGATGTGACTTTATGTAAGGTCTGATAGATTAGGTTATCACATCTATTGTTTCGGTAGCGGAAATAAATCCACAACAGTCTTATACATATACTTTATTTTTGCCAGGAACACATAGCGACCACCTTAATACCCACAGAACTGTGGTGATCATCGAGAATTCTCTACAAAGCATTAGTAATTACAGTCCATTTAGGTGAGACTTATTAAGTAGTCCTATCGGTGGCCTATTTGTTAGAGAGAACTATGAGCAATATAAAACATCTTAATAATTTCTCCCCTTATCTTACTACGCTGGCTATATATTAAGAGTGTAAGGCCTTCGGGAAGTTTGTGGGCCATAGCCAAATTATTCACTAAATGGGTCACTTGATGTCAAAAAGTTTATCTACTCTCTTCAAGGTTAAGAAGGACATCGTTAGTTGCATGCCATGCGCATGCGCACGCAGTGGTAGTTTCCCCTTGTATCTCTCTAAAGTCAATTATCTTTTTTGTAGGGAGAATTTGTTAAGGCTGGTCACTTAAGAAGTTGATTCAGCTGGTGATCATGACGGCATAACCCAGTTTAATTATATACTTTGACATAAGCCAGGAAGTCAGATCATCCCTTCTCACCTGGGAAAGACCCCGTTCATAGACATATATCACCTACGTTGGTGATCTACAAGAGCTTCCAGTGACCTAAATATGGCTTGTTTCTGATGCGATTCACCTTTTGGTTCAATACCACTGAACATGCTCAGAAACGGTCACATTATTCTTATGGTAAGGCAACACAGCATAGTCATTTTTTATAGATGAGGTCCTAAGTAAGCACTGAAAACAGCTTTAATAGTTCTAAAATCCGTCAACTATTCATGGACTTCTGGGAGTGATTATGTGTTATCGGCCACAGAAAATCTACGAGGTGAAAAACCTAGATAATCACAAGGTAATATTCAGAACAATTTTCATCAATGTCGAAGACTTACAGAACCTTTTATTTGGTGGTTTATTTACCGCTAAAGCTCACTTCCGTCTACTGAGGTAGTGATGGCCCTAAGACATGGCCAGTCAGAAGTTTAAACCCCAAGAATTTGTCGTTGATAAACATTCTTATGATAGCTCGCTATGCTTAGCAGCATCTGGTCATCCTTCTCGTAAATAAGGGGATATGTGGTACATAATAGTAATGAGAAAAGTACAACGAAAATTTCGATTAATCGCAAACTTCGTTGGTTTGTTCATCTTTCCCAGCCGTCCTTGAAAAGAAAACCGAATTTCTAGTACATGACGAAACTACACTTGTACATGTGTAAGAATGTAGGATTTTGGTCTATATGGTATTAATACATTCATCTTTGCTATCAATAATAATAGACCTAATCCTAAAATTATAGGTTCGCCATGATGTGACTACCTCATCTATAATATCTTACGTGGAAGTCATATTATAGTCTATGTTGACTCGTCCTATCGAGAAATTAACACTATAACGTCTAACACTCCTGAAGAACACACTTCGAACTGAATGGGGAGTAATATATATTCGACAGAAAAAGAAGAAGTTACATGGTGTGACCACGCCAGCATAGTTGCCGATCGAATCTTGGAAATCACTAGATCTTCTAAGGCCGAGGTTTTTTCCGTCAAGGAAAAACCCCAATCGACCTCGACTGACATGGCCGAACTATGTCACACGCTTACACGATATCTTAGAGTTCGCAATGACCGTAGTCGGTCAAAAACCCCGCGTAGAAGCGCCTCACGTAAGCGATCTGGCTCTCGACCACAAGAGACAGACAATCCCGACTGGTGCTGGTATCATAACCAGTACTGTAAGTTTTCCAGAAATTGCAGAAAACCTTGCAATTATCCGACTTCAAAATCGACTGACACGAATAAGATTTCGGGAAACTTCCCAGCCGGCACGCGTTAACGGCAACCGTAGCCGGCGAACACAGCCGTCTGTTATACGTCTCGGATGTGACTACGTAAGTTCGCTACCTCGTCGACACTGGCGCAGAAGTTAGCGTTCTTCCAGCAAATCCCGACGACAGACTTCGCGAGTCTGTTTTAAGTTTACAGGCGGCAAGCGGAAAGCCGATCGCTACTTACGGTAAAAGGTACGTCTACCTTAACGTGGGTTTACGCAAACCCATACACTGGATTTTCGTGGTTGCAGATGTCTCTATGCCAATCATTGGTATCGACCTGTTACAATACCACAATCCACTCATCGACACACGCTCACGAAAGTTAATAGACAGAAACACTAAGTTATCTGTTTGCGTAACTCCTTGTTCTGGTTGCAGGTTATCCCCAGTCACGATTAAGCACACCATAGACCCATTGTACCAATCAGTACTCGACAAATACCCCGGGATATACCAATCGCAATCGAAATTGCCTTGAGTAACCAGCAATGTTACACATCACACCTCGACTACAGGACCACCTGTATTTTCGAAAGCTCGAAGACTCGCTCCCGAGAAGCTTAGGTTAGCTAAAAACGAATTCGACCACATGATGGACCTAGGGATAATTCGACCATCGAATAGTCCATGGTCATCCCCATTGCACATGGTCCCTAAAAAGGACAGCAATGATTGGCGGCCAACTGGTGATTATCGGCGTCTAAATGCTAAAACCAATCCCGATCGTTACCCGCTGCCTCATATTCACGATTTGACAGCTACCTTGAAAGGTACAACTGTCTTTTCGAAAATCGACTTGGTTAAAGCTTATAACCAAATCCCGATGGCACCTGACGACATTCCTAAAACCGCCATCATCACTCCCTTCGGTCTTTACGAATTTCTACGAATGCCCTTTGGTTTAAGAAACGCGGCTCAAACCTTCCAAAGGTTTATAGACGACGTCTTCCGAGGTCTCAACTTCGTACATGCGTATGTTGATGACTGTCTAATAGCAAGTCCGGACAGAGAATCGCATCTCAAGCATCTGGACATTGTTTTCGATCGACTCCAAAGGCATGGCATTACTGTCAACATACAGAAATGCCAAATCGGAACAAACTCCTTAGACTTCCTAGGACACACTATTGACGCCCAAGGCATCCGACCCCTTAGGAGCAAAGTGGCGGCCATTCTGGATTACCCAGAACCGACCACGATCAAGCACTTACGAACTTTTAACGGACTCGTAAGTTTCTATAGACGGTTCATACCTAAATGCGCATCCCTAATGAAACCGTTAACCGATCAGCTCCGTGGAAATGCGAAATCAGTTAGTTTAGACGACATAGCCCGTAAAGCATTTTCCACAGTTAAGGAACACATCGCTAAAGCAACCTTGCTTGCTCATCAGGACACTCAAGCGCCCATTAGTATCGCAGTAGACGCATCCGACTCAGCAATCGGAGGAGTCTTACAACAATGGGTTAACAACTCGTGGCAACCCTTAGGATATTTCTAGGGAGACGGTTGCTAGACACGGAATCTAGATACAGCACGTTCGGTAGGGAACTCCTAGCTATGTATTGTGCTGTACGGCATTTTCAACATTCCATCGAAGGAAGAGAATTCACGCTCTTTACCGATCACAAACCTCTTACCTTCTCTTTAAGTTCATCTTCAGACAAGTACTCATCAAGAGAGTCTCGACAACTGGACTACATTTCGCAGTTTACTTCAGACATACAACATATTTCTGGAGCAAACAATGTAGTCGCAGACGCCTTGTCTCGAATTAGCTCCTTGAACAGTTTCCAAGGAATCGACCTTCTTAAACTCGCTCAGCTTCAAAAAGAAGACATTGATCTTCAGCATGAGTTATCCTCGACAACTCTTAAACTAAATATTAAGCAGATGGGAACAGGTAAGGAAACCTTACTCTGTGACACATCTACAGGTAGGGATCGTCCAATAGTACCAGAACATTATCGATGCAACGTCTTCAATACGTTGCACAATCTTTCTCATCCAGGTGCTCGTGCAACAGTCAAACTTATAGCCGAACGCTTTTGTTGGCCTGGCATGAATAAAGACGTGAGGGAGTGGGCACGCTCCTGTGTAAGCTGTCAGAAATGTAAGGTCATAAGACACAACAAATGTCCCTTAGGCTCTTTCAAAACCCCTGACGCTCGTTTCGACCACGTCTATCTAGATTTGGTAGGACCCTTACCCGACTCGAACGGATACTCATATCTACTAACATGTGTAGACCGTTTTACTCGATGGCCAGAAGCAGTACCGATTAAGGACATTACTGCTGAAACCGTGGCCCGCGCTTTCG